CTTGGATCTAGTCTTCCTAATAAAGACTTGATTATTGGGTGGGATATCATGACCCAACTTCCAGACTTGAGAATCATTCCTGGAAAAGGACTTAGGTATAAAGACCAATTCTCCGAATTCGTCAATATCCAAAGAGTCTTTTCCATTCAAATGAGCCTGTTGGATCCAATCATGCAGAAACTGTTGGAATCATGCTCAGAAAATCATTTCGAATTCTCCCAAAAATGTTCTCATCCTTTGTGGAAAAACCCAGAATTCTATGTTCAACTCCCCTTCAAGAAAAATGAGGATATAAATCCTACAAAGGCAAGTCATTCGGGAATGAATCCAGAGCATTTGGCTCTTGCTAAAAAAGAATGCTCAGAATTGTTGCAACAAGGCCTTATTGAAACTTCAAACTCTCAATGGGCTTGTGAAGCTTTTTTTGTCAATAAACGTGCTGATCAAAATCGAGGAAAAATGAGATTGGTTATCAATTACCAGCCTCTTAATCTTTTCCTCCAAGATGACAAATTCCCTTTGCCTTCTCGAAATTCCCTTTTTGCGGGAATCACTAAAGCCCATATTTATTTAAAGTTTGATCTCAAAGCCGGATTCTGGCAATTGGGCATTCATCCTGATGACAGACCAAAGACGGGATTCTGTATCCCCAACCAACACTTTCAATGGCGAGTGCTTCCATTTGGTCTCAAGGTTGCTCATTCCTTATTCCAAAAGGCTATGTGTCGCATATTCCAGCCGATCCTATCTAGTGCAGCTGTCTATATTGACGACATATTGCTCTACAGCCCAGACGAAGAATCTCACTGTCGACTTCTTGAGTAGTTTGTAAAAATTGTGAAGAAACATGGCATCATGCTTTCTCAGAAAAAGATGACCATTGCCCAGACAGAAGTTGAATTTCTTGGCATGCACCTTAACAAAGGTACATATTATCCAGGACAGCACATTGCCAGGGAATTACTTAAATTTCCTGAAAAGAATTTTACAACCCAGCAAGTTCAACAATTTCTCGGGATAATAAATTATCTTAGAGATTTTGTTCCAAATATTGCAAGGTTGTTAATTCCTTTGCAACTGATGTTAAAAAAGCATCCAGTGCCATGGGGAAAGGCACAAACTAAAGCAGTTGTGGAACTCAAAGAAATTATGCAAGATCTTCCCCCTCTGCAAATTCCATCCACAGGTAAGAGAATCTTGCAGACTGATGCCAGTGATGAATATTAGGCGGCCATATTGTTCGAAGAACTTCATGGTAAGCGACATCTTTGCGCTTACAAAAGTGGCAAGTTTTCTCAGGCAGAAATGCATTATCATTCTACCTTCAAGGAAATTTTGGCAGTAAAGAATGGAATAAAAAAGTTTGAATTCCATCTTATTGGCCACCATTTTTTGGTAGAACTGGATATGGCTTCTTTTCCCCAAATGACCAAATTCAAGTAGAAGCAGATCCCTCTTCCTCAGCTACTTAGATGGGCTGAATGGTTTTCGAAATACTCTTTCGAAACCAAACACATTGCAGGAAAGAAAAATGTGCTTGCAGACTTTCTCTCCAGACCAAAAGCATCGGCAGAAATCAACATGTATATTCTCAGGCATTCCTTCCCGTTCCGAGCAGACAAGTACAAGATTGAACGGTTCCGAGATTGGCCAAGCCTAGAATATCCTCAAGAAATACTTGAGCAAATTCAAAAAGATAAGCTCATTGAAAATCTTGACAATCTCATGTGGCAATGCCACACAGACCTTTTTCGCCACCATGGAGGATCTATTCTTGACTTTTCTAGATTACACTCGAGGTACCCTTTTATCCACCCATTACTTTGGAGAAAAAATGATTTTACTGACAAACTTAAATGGCTATTATGGTATCTAACCAACAAGTACGTAATAGCTATTGAGTTTCCCACCAGAAAATTTATTCTCCAATTGACCAACTTGCTTCTGGCTGATTACGTTCAACTAAATGAATACGAGAAAAACTTTTTAACTGTGCTCAAATGGTTTTACCCTCCTGTTTATTAGAAACGACTCTTTCTCGAAGAAGTGAAAAAAGTCCGAGATGATCCAGAAACACACACTATTGTACTCTTCCACCGTCCTTGGACTTTTGTGCATAATAATGGTACCATTTCCAATACTCCCGCCGCAGTAGGTACTACTACCTACAAGCCTCAGTCACAACTCCAGGTTGCACGTGTTTATAAATCGTTCCCCAGTCGCATTGGTTCTGTTGAATATAATTACAGGGAACTCCAAAGGATCTTATGTCAAGAAAATCGCATTATTCCAGAAGAAGCATGGGATTACTTCACACCCGTCTCATGGGATCACGAAGGATCTTCCTCTACAACAAGACAAGCACTCAGAGAATACGAGCACGGACAAGCACAGGCACAGCTTGGATTATCACAAGATCACAAAATGTCAGATATAGGAGATCCAGCACAGTCATCTCAAGATCCGGTGCAGTCATCTCAGGATCCATGGGGTGGACCACTCTCTCAAGACCCCTATGACTATGGACCATTGTCCTTATCCGTCGGACTTGATGCCAGCTCTTCCTCTCATTACACACAACTAGGAAATTGGCCCCAGCCAGTTTTGCCTCAGCCAGTCTTACCTGAACCAAATCCACAACCAAGCCTTGGCATCAGAATGTGGAATGACCTCCTGTTATCACAAAACACTCCAAATACTGCTTTTCCAGACCTTTCGACACATGCATCCTCTTCCTCGAACCCAACGCCAGTCATCACTGAAGATAATTTCGAACACATTCTGACACAGAGACAGATAGCAGAATACGAACGTGCAAACAGTTCAGACAGCTCGGATTATGACTATAACTCTGGATGGAGATAAGCTTGTACTATTCCACCTAACCGGCATCATTCTAGCATATCATAGCCGGGTCCTGTTTCACCTATGAATAGGCTTTAAGTGTTCTACGAGTGTGTTGTAGGTGTGCCAAATAATGTACTTAGTTTAGGTGAGTTTTGTTTTATGCGGACAGAAGTCCAATAATGTACTCATTCTAAGTGTGTTTTGTCTTATCTGGACCGTCGTCCAGCATGTATTCCCTAACGCCTATATAAGGCCATGTAATCCTTCGGTTTGGAATAGGAGGAAAAGTTGTGAAATCTAAATCCTCTCACTTTCCATGCCTTTCTAAAAATCTATTTCTTCAAAGCTTGGCATGATCCTCTAAAAAATGCAACTCGGTCAGTTGGGCATAACATCATCCTGGTCACTCTGAGTGTCTCTATGCTCTGAGCTAAATCTCCGGGTAGTTTTGCAGCTAAAAGGCAGTTCCTGAAGGGCTTGAACAAGAGGTTCGCCCATGTGGAATAGCACACCTGCTTTAAGCTGACCCGGTTTTCCCTGGCTCTCAGCATAGATCCCCTCATTGCTAACTACAAAAAACTCAAAACTGATACATCTGTGATAATTTTGCCATCCGTTAGTTTCCATTAAAATCCTGAATTGGATGACATTTGTGCCAGTTTGGGGTTTCACCCTCCGTTTATCACATATGTACCACTTTGTCATTTTTCGTGGTATTAATTCAATTTAACAAAGGGTAACTGTGGAGTTTTTGGTGATCAAAAAAATTAGTACGGGTAAATTTGTCATGCGTGTACTAGTTTGGGGTTTTTCATTATCAAAAAATTAGTTTGGAGTAAATTTGTCATAGATGTACTAATTTGGAGTTTTACGTGGTATTTACCCTTTTTAAAAAAAAGACTCTTCTACTATAATATAATGGCATCCTTTTTTTTTTAATTTTCTCTTTTTATTTTTCATCACTCTATTTTTTTTATTTTGATATTTTTTTAATGCTTTTGTTAGTTTCAAATTTTCCACTCATGAGTCAGTTCTAACGTGTAAAGACATGGTTCATCAATTTGTGATATATATATATCTCTGTTTAGTTGGTATTTCTTTTGTCATTGCTCAGAATTTAATTTCCTTCAAGATTTTCGAAATCTCTCTCAGATTTATTCGTGTTCTATATTGTATATGAAAGTAGCTCGTAAATATTAATAGGTTTTGTTCTAATGGTTGATTAACCAAGAAAGGCGAGAAAACTCTCGTAATCAGAGTAATCAAAGCACAAAAGGCAGACCTGATCATGAGCTTGATGGCCTCGCGAGCCCGGCAGGCTCGACTTGAAGGTATCCTTTGGACGAGCTTGGGTAAGGGTATTTGATGGGAAAATTTGATTGTACTCGAAGACTAATGTGCCCTGGGTAAGGCAAAATTTAAATTTTACACTTTCCAAAAAGAATCATTAAAACTCGCCCTCCATGTTAAGGCGAATTTTAATGGGATTCTATTGCAAAATAGACGAAATTGCAAGTTAGGTATGCTAAAGATAACCGTGAGTGTAATTTTGTAAATCTCTTAAGTTTAGATTTTAATAATTTAATTCATCTACTAAAACGATCCAAATTCTATGTTTAATGCTATAAAGAAAAGCAAGCTCTTAACTTCGCAATTATACATAGGCACGACACCGTTGGATGTTCAATGTCATACGAGACTGGCACCACTGGATGCGCATAAGCTATACAGGAACATGCCGCACAAAGAAAAGTAATAAATAGTATTGTCAATTTAAAATTGGGTTTTTATTCTACAATGAGTCACCGTGACTTGAGTGTCGTGGCTTCGGTTTTGGACGCTGGGGTCTCGGGCCTGGCCTCGATAGACCCGAGCTTGCCCTCGATAGATCCTAGCAGACCTGGCCCGACCTTTAGACTTGGGAACGAGGGTCAGGATTCCTACATCCAAACGCAGAGTTTCTGACCCGAGCGCCAGCACCACCTACCCGCAACTCGAGCCCGAACCCAAGGTCCCTCGACCTTGCCACTAGCAATCCCCGTTGTTAACGGCCGAATCGGAACCCACAGCTCGAGCTCGCGAGCCGACTCGAATTTCGCCCCCCGCTCCAATCAAATCCACCCACAACATAAGAAGTATCGACACACACACACACACACTCTCTCTATCTCTCTCCTCTCGCAGTTCCAAAATCGTCCTCAGCAATCCGACGATCTCCCCGATGTTCTCTTCCTCACCCGTCGCTTAGTTCTACTCTCTCTCTCTCTCTCTCTCTCTAGCCCTTGGGAGAATAATGGCTTCCCTGACCCGGCCGCCGGCGTCGCTCCCCGGGGCCGCGGCCTCCGATCTCTTCGGAAGCCCCGGCGGCGGCGGCGGCGGCGCCCGCGGCCTCTCGCTGAGGGCCCTGGGGAGGGCGCGGCTGGGCGGCGGCGGCGGCGGGACGACGACGAGGAGGGGCGGGGGCGGCGGCGCCGCGGGGGCGGTGGTGGCGAAGCTCAGGAAGGTGAAGAAGCACGAGTATCCCTGGCCCGACGATCCGGATCCGAACGTGAAGGGCGGGGTGCTCAGCCACCTCTCGCCCTTCAAGCCGCTCAAGGAGAAGCCGAAGCCCGTCACGCTGGAGTTCGAGAAGCCGCTCCTGGCGCTGGAGAAGAAGATCATGGATGTGAGTTTGCTTCTGTGTATCTTGTGGGGCGTGTGATTTTGATCATCGGTGACCGCCCTTGCCGTGAGCTGATTGCTTTGGAAAATCGCGAATTTCGGTCTCTTTGCAGGTGAGGAAAATGGCAAATGAAACTGGCTTGGACTTCAGCGATCAGATTGCTTTATTAGAGAGCAAATATCAACAGGTTTGGCATCGCTGCTCTTGTGTAGAACCTTTTCCACACGGTAACATGTAATTCGCATCACTATGTTAATGTGCTCTGGGAGTATGGCCATATATTAGATTCACTCACTAGTATCAATCATCATACGATTAATGGCAATGAATTATAACTGGTTAGGAACCAGTTATATAGCCTAGGGTGCTTCTGCCACTTCCTGACCCAGAATCTTTTTTTTATTTCTACTGCTTATGGCTTTGCAGGTTAACAAGTAGAATCTGATGCTCACAATCTGAATTAAAATTAAATTGTCCTCGTCTTGACATGCCGGAACAATGGCCAGCTAATCTGAAACAAATAGAGAGCTTCCCTGGACAAACCAATTACAATTCTGGATTAGATATTCCCCGTTTTTGGCTCCTAAAACTTGGCCAATAACATCAACGTTTTACCAGTTTGGTCTCTCTCTTGCACTTTAAATTTGCACCACCAATCAACTTATTTGTATCTTATAAAGTAGCAACCTGGCTCGAGGATGCAAATGCTTGATGCGAATTATTGGTATGTGAACATGAATTGGTGCGAAGAAATATTAGCAGACTTGTCAAAACTTTTTCCTCCCATGTTTAGTGCTGTAAAAGTGGATTTGTAGAGTTAAAAAGGAATATGGTTGCTGTTGCTAATGGTTTATCATGGATGGAGTAATCTTGCCTAGATCGATAATAGATTCTAAAAACTCAGTTAGAGTGTGATGGACATGAAATGGAGTCTTTTGAACTGAAACTTATTGGCAATGGGCCACGAAGGATCTAAAATTCGAAATGACATGGTTAGAAAACTTAACAGAAGGATCTGGAGAGTGACTCACCTAAAGCATACATTATGAACATAGAGGGGAAAAAAACATGGAGGCGAACCAAACTTCCCACAAAAACTGGGACTTGTGCTTGTTTCTAGTGCCTTACATTGAGATTTTCTGAAAATTATCGACCTGAGCGTAAACCTAACCAGTCACCTTGGCTTGAAAATGAACGCGTATTTCTATGACCTAGCTTAGATATATACCCTGATGAGTTTTCGACTTGTCTTGACATGACTATGAATGACTTTGGAAGCATACTGTTTTCCTCTTCATGAACTTTCGAGGGAAGGAGAAAAACTAAGTTCTTTTGCATTACCTATAGGCCGCACCTTAGATTACTTTTTCAGATGGGGTGCTTGTTGGATTTCTTGTTTCATACAGTTAAGTGATATTGTATTTGACGGGTTGGGGGAAACCCAAAAGACATGAAAAGACTCTTTCGGGTCGAATGCCCTACAATTCTTGTGTGACATAGATTCAGATGATTATGACATATACCCCAGTTTTTGCCAATTTTTAGAATTTTAAGTTTCATTAAAAGTTGATTTTTTTCAACTTGTTAATCTTTTGGATGCTACTAAAATGTTCTTTTCTTGGTTTATTGTCTTGTATACAGGCTTTGAAGGATTTGTATACTCATCTGACTCCTATCCAGCGTGTGAATATTGCCCGACATCCCAATCGGCCAACCTTTCTTGACCATGTATTTAGCATTACTGACAAGGTGTCCATGCTCTGGCTTATCGATTGGAAATTGGCCTCATGCTTCTGTTTATATGTTGCTTGATTCTTTCCTGCGATGCTTACATACTACTCAAGATTTATGTGTTCTGCAGTTTGTGGAGCTTCATGGAGATAGAGCTGGATATGATGATCCTGCCATTGTTACTGGTATAGGAACCATTGATGGGGAGAGGTACATGTTCATGGGCCACCAGAAGGGGAGAAACACAAAAGAAAATATTCAGCGCAATTTTGGAATGCCAACTCCTCATGGGTAATGCCAATAAGATGGATATACCTTCAATAGACCACCAACCTTAGAGTAGATTTGGCATCTGGACAGTGCAGTGTCACTTACTTGTGTTTTACATTTCTAAAAGTTCAGAAACTAACGTTTTTATGCTAAATCAAGTTGTTCTTTTACTACAGTTACAGGAAGGCTCTACGCATGATGTATTATGCTGATCACCATGGATTCCCCATCATTACTTTCATTGATACACCTGGGGCCTATGCAGATCTTAAATCTGAGGAACTTGGCCAAGTAGGTGAAACAATACACTTTTATCCCAATTTGCACTGTTCACTTCCAAATATAACTGCAAAGTTCTGTTTGCTTCATTTATGTGCAGGGTGAAGCCATTGCTCACAATCTCAGGACTATGTTTGGTCTGAAAGTACCTATTGTTTCTATTGTTATTGGAGAAGGTGGCTCTGGTGGTGCTCTTGCCATTGGCTGTGCAAATAAATTGTTAATGCTTGAAAATGCAGTTTTCTATGTTGCCAGGTAATTTGAGTATCATTGCTTCCGTTGCAAATGGGGAATAAATTCCATCACTAGATGTCCTTTTCCTGCTTCACTTTTCCATATGGATAGATGGCTAAGAAATGTTAGTGGGTTGTTATGTCAATTTAAACACGCATACTTCTGTTTTTTGCAGCTTAATCTATGACAGAATTTTCTTTTGGAAGTATGTTCATCATATTATCATGTGCATGAGTTGGTGATCATGTGCTATATGGGGCAGATTTGGTGTCCCATATTTTAGTCATTCAACTTGTGCTGTTCTCCTGTTTGCTTCTGTTTTTCATCTACACATAGGGGAACTCTACATTTTGCCAATAACGAATATGCTTTGGCTTCGGGCAAATGAATGCTAAGTGTCTTTTTTTATTTTCAAAATTCTATTTATGCTGTTATGAGCATGGAAGGCATGTTTTGGTGGGAGGAGGGAAAAGAGAGGGGACAGTATGTGGAGAAGGGAAAGTTAGATGAAAGAGTCGTTTCCCAATTCTCAGGATAAGAGCGGAAAATGAAATAGATGATTCTGGGAGAAATATTGTCTAGTGGGCACACCAGTTTTGTTCCCTAACAAAATGGAAAGAAATTCCATTCGCCCATTTCGCCCACTACTGATTTAGAAATTACGCGTAATATATGCTTGCACAGATTACTCTCTTGGAAGTATGACTGTAACTGACATCGTAATTTTCCTTTTGGTTCTGTTCCTTTATAACTTTTTCTTCACTTTTCATTCTTCTATCATTTTTATCCGGACACAAATTGAGCAAGCAGGTGTCTGTCCCTCTTCATTCATTTCTCTCTTCTTCACCACCTCGACTTTCTTTCCTCCTCTACTAAGTTCCCAAGATTAGCATAAGAGATGTCATTCCAGTCGATTTTCCCTACACTTCTTTCTGTTCAATCCTGAAGATGAGATTAGATCGTGTAGCAAACATTATTCACTATATGTATGCTTTTTTGAGATATGACTTCTAGACTTTTGGGATGGCTAATTCCTTGTAGTGAACTCAGAAGTAAACTTGAGAAACTGTTAAGAGTTGTTTCTTTCAGTCTCCCCGAAGAACATATTTTCTGGTTAAGTAAGGAAATTGTCGGAATTTCGTCTTGGTGTCGTAGATTTCCATTCGTACAGTGCTGTTCTGTTTCTTCAGTCATGGAAAGGCAGAAAACAGGCAAAAGTTTTTCCTTCATTCACCATGTACTCGCATTATCTATGTATTCATAGAGACAGATTTGTGCAAAATGTAAATTGCACATGGGCGTGTGTGTAATCCTATGCAAATATATGGATGCATATAAGTGTATGTACACATGCATACGCAGAGAGAGTAGGATGCTCATAACCACCATTAGCATGATCAATGACAAGGACTTTGATGCGTTTATTATCACCAAGACGGTTGCCTAATGCTCATGCATGATCAATGCCCTAGATCATTCTGTTTGTCTTTGTTCCTGAATGCCAGTATTTTCCTACCAGTGTTTGAGTCTAAGTTGCTACAGTATGCTGTTGATTTTTCGAAATGCCGAAGCTGTATTCCCATTTCTTTTTTGCAATTATGTCTATCTCTTGCACCTAAGTGATTTTTTTTCCTAAAAATAATGGTTTTATCTCTTTCTCTGTCTGTCTGTCTCTCCCTCTCTCTGCTTTTCTCTTTAGTCCTGAAGCTTGTGCTGCAATCTTGTGGAAGACTGCCAAAGCTTCTCCGAAGGTGATCACAATGTTTTTAGTGCTGATTTTCTCTGCAAGAAAAGGTTTTATAGATGAACACTTAACTATCCCCTATCCTTCAGGCTGCTGAGAAGCTGAAGATTACAGCTACGGAGTTATGCAAATTACAAGTTGCTGATGGGATCATTCCAGTATGTTTCTTTACCCTATATATTCTGCTTCTGTGAGCCACTACAGTGGGGTCCAGAATTTGTATAAACGCACACGGGGGGACGGATCTAGAAATATTTCTTAATTGGGGCAAAATTGGGTTGATAATTTAGTAAGTAATATAGTTTTTACCCTTAAAAAATATGCTAAAATTAATACTATATATAGGTTTTCTCTAGATATATAGGAACTACATATTCATGATTCTACGATTTTTTATAAAATTTCATCAACTAGTGGGGGCAAATTGAAATAAAAGTATTTACTATTGACTTAGTTGTCTATTATTTGATAAATGTAATGGAGGCAAAAGTTGTTTTCTTGGTCAAAATCATTTAGTATAACCTTTGAAACTTTAATGTATTTTTATTGTTTTGAAAAAAATGAGTGGGGACAAGAGCCCCGTCTTATGAACATAGGTCCGTCCCTGTATACACAAAAAATAAAAACAAGCATATATCCACAACTTTAAATTTGGATAATGTGATTACTCCTTTTCAATTGCAATTGTTATCCTCTTGGTGCTCTTGAATTTGCTCAACATGGCTGTTCGATTAAAAGAACATGGTTGGAACATACCATTTTTCTGTAGGGATTTTTTACTTTCATAATGTAGAAAAGAAAGAAAAAATTCCACTCCTTTTCTGGCATGCTTAATATTGATCTAATAGTCAGTGCCAGAGAGATTTAGACCAAGCGGAAAATGGAAGATAGCAGATTTTATTTTATGTTTTATTAGCAGAAATTATTTGAATGTCATGATACTTTGCGATTTCGCTTTATTTGATGATGGTGATTGATGCATTAATCAATGTGATAAAAAATTTCAACAGTTATACGTACCATTTTGCTACCATTTTTCGTAATAATTTTGTTGATCATTTTTGTATTCCAAAATCATTATGAATTAAATAAGAAGTTGGTCAATAGTTTAAAATTATTGGGCGGAGAGCTTTTTCACTGATAAGTTGAACTCTGAGTGAATAATGTCACTCTTGCATGGAAAATAACAGCTTACAGAGACAGAGACCCTAATGAACAAAAGTTGAAAGTAAATATGATGGAAAAATGCTTCTCAAAGTGAGACTCATAAAATAGTTTAGTAGAATGTCACATTAAAAGCAAACAGTCAAGCTTTAATATTCACGCCACGGAGTCATTTTCTAATTTAATGAATACTGTCATATTCTCTTGCAGACATTTGATGAGGAAGAAAATTATTGAAGTCATCACCTTGTGTTGTTGGGACATCATTAATTTTTTTTGTTTGGATGTCATGACAAGAACGTTTTACTCTTGTGTGTGGTTTAACAGGAGCCTCTTGGAGGTGCCCATGCAGATCCATCTTGGACCTCGCAACAGATTAAAATTGCAGTGGTTGAAGCTATGAATGTCAGTATCTCTTAGTCTGTTTGCATCATTATCTGAATGAGTACTGACTCCTTGATTTGTTCAGGAGCTCAAGAAGATGGACACACAAGAGCTCCTAAAGCATCGCATGCTTAAGTTCCGAAAAATTGGTGGATTTCAAGAAGGAATTCCGGTGGATCCCAAGAGGAAGGTGAACATGAAGATGAAAGAAGAACCTTTATTAGGAAAGATTTCTGATGCTGAACTGGAGAGTGAAGTGGAAAAGCTGAAACAGAAGATTGTAAAAGCTAAGGAATCATCGGCTGAAGCTTCTGATAGTGGTCTGGATGAATTGATGGAAAAACTCAAAAAGGAAGTGGATCATGAGTACTCCGAGGCAATTAAGGCCTTGGGCTTGGATGAAAGAATGTCAACATTGCGAGAAGAATTGGTGAAAGCTAAGCAACAGGAGCAACCCCTGCATCCTATTTTAATGGATAAGATTGATAAGCTAAAGAAAGAGTTCAATGAAGGTTTGCCAGGAGCTCCCAATTATGAGAGCCTCAAGAGTAAGCTTGACATGTTGAATGAGTTATCTAAGGTGAAGAATGCTGAAAAGGTTGCTTCACAGAAGGAAGAAATCAATAGGAAACTGAAAGAGGTATTAGAACGTCCTGATTTGAAGGAGAAGGTTGAAGCTCTGAATGCTGAAATTGAAGACTCCGAGGCAACTTCTCCTGAGGATGTAGATGAAGGCCTGATGTTGAAAATTATCAATTTGAAGAAAGAGATAGACATGGAAATGGCCAACGTCCTTGAATCTTTTGGACTGCATGTTGAGGCCATTAAACCTACCAGCAGAGATATTAGTCCACAAACTTCAGTCTCAGAATTTAGTGCTAAGTTGGGTAATCTAAATAAAGAAATAAACAACAAAATCGAAGAAGTTGTCCACTCAACAGACCTGAAAAATTTGATGGAGATGCTGAAGATGGAGATCGTGAATGCAGGAAAGGCGCCTGATTCGTCGTCGAAAAGTAAGATCGATGCTCTACAGCAGCAAATTAAGCAGAGGCTTTTTGAGGCAATAAATTCTACAGAACTGAGAAAGAAACATGAAGAGCTGACAGCTGAGATTTCTGAGGTTTTGGAATCTTCTGGAGTATCTAATGGAAGTTTGAAAAATTCTAGCGGTGAAGAAAGTCCCAAGCCTGAGGAATCAAGAATAGGGGCCAATGTGGGAGGAAATGGCAACTAGTTAGGGTGAGTTTAAGTTTCTCCGGTCTCAATTTACTTCTTCCCTTTCAAAAATTGTTTATTCATTTTTTACCTGCGGTGCTGCATTTTTATCTTTTAAATAGAATAATTGTGTAATTATTCTGATTTTTTTTTTTGCAAATGGAAATAAAAATAATTTGGCATGGCTTGAAGTCATAAACTGCTACCGTTTCAGTATCTTATTGTGTCGTAGCAACAACCAGTTGCAAAGTTCGATAGTGGAAGGGCTTTGCTATTTCTATTCACTGTTCGAACTCCTTGATGACAGCGGATAGCTTCCCTGTTCTCTAGTTGTCATTGCAATAATGTTTCTGTGCAGCATTGTCTCCTTCCTCCGGATGCAACTGGGAAAGTGAGAAAGGAACGGACACCCGTTTTCACCCGGGCAGTAACGCAGCACTTATTTCCAGGTTGAAATGCGTTCAAATTTTCACTCCCTTATTAAGCATTTGATGCATCTCAGTCCTGCCACTGCACTTACACACGCACAAGTACCAGGGACAGATTGGGCTTTCTTATTTTATCTGCTCAAATACTTCCCCTTTTTATGTTGAGAGTATTTTCGGTTTATCGGCAAAGAGTCCATTCACCTTCTACCTGAAATCGAGCAATCGAGAACTTAATTTTCCTTTCCATGAGATGACAGATAGAGAACATTTGTATATGTTGTGCTGAGTGATGGTGATAACTTAAAAACACTGCGCTCGATTCAATAAAATTCTTGTGAGTTGCCTTATATATAGAGTTGTGTCTTTCTTTTTCGTTTTGGTTCGTTTGGCTTTGAAAATGTAGTCTTATTTTTTTTTATGAGATGGAAGGTATGCGCATAGTGGATAATGATGTACAGGGACAATGACACAAATATGTGGTCTCGGATCTATAGTCAATACTGTCCTTAAACTATTTTAATCTTTTCAATGTAACATCGAGTTTAAAGAGTTTGCTGATGTGGACTCCAATCTGTTGAGTTCTAACGATGGACGTCGAAATAAAACGTGTGGACCGTTTTAGGTGTCATATTATCAGTTTATTTTGGAAAACTTTGATACACATGGATGTATCTCTCTTTCATGACAGAAGGAGAAAAAAAAAACGGAAAAAAGAAAAGTGGCATTTCATTATCAGATGAGGTCCGTCTCTGATCTCCTTCTTGGAGCACCTCCCATGGCATTCTCATCGATGCCGACGCCAGTACAAAAAACGGAAAAAAGAAAAGTGGCATTTCATTATCAGATGAGGTCCGTCTCTGATCTCCTTCTTGGAGCACCTCCCATGGCATTCTCATCGATGCCGACGCCAGTACACTTAGGCCCTAAGTGCAACATAGCATTACAGACATGCTCGCTGACGCCTAGATCATCACCGTCGTGGCCATCGGCCTCGATACATAAACTCCTCTTCCCGCTTTCATGAGGCTACGAGCAATCCATGTCCGAGTCTCGGCTCCGCGGTCATGGCCAATCATCCCATATTGAATGTTTGATTTTGAGGAAGAAGATGAAGCCTTGGTTTATGAGCAATGGATTTTGTTTCTTCTTAAAACCCCTAACTTTTTTGTCTACTGAAGAATTGAAGAAGATGGCCCAGAAGAAAAGCAGGAGCATATCGCAGTCACATCCTACCTGATTTATGATAATCCGGCTCATCAATCAGGGTTCTTCATTTGTGGCTTCATTTAATAGGATTACATTGAACATTCGAGAATAGTTTAGCGGGCCGCATTAGATAAGTTGAAAGTCTAGGAACGACATTATTTCCACGATTGAAACGCATCATACCCGTTCAAGTACTATATTGTCGGTCAGGAAATTCAAGAAAGCAGTGTGTATAAACTTTAGGCGACACTTGACGGTCTGCTTGATGGGCCCGCCCAGGCCCAATCGGATAAAAGGGCAAAAAATGGGCCATCTTGGGCTAAACATTCTCCTTCTTGGGGTTGGCCCGCCCAAAGCCCAGTCAATTTCCCACTCGATATGAAACCAAACCAAACCAAACCAAATCAAATTCCTAACTGACAATGGTTTTTCCCCCAATTACTTGGGAACTTGGCATTGTTTAAACTGCACGGTTTTGACTCTGTTTAAGGGTACATCAAATTTCATCAGCGATATTTCTTGCGGCTTCGTGACCTCATCTCAGATTTTTGTCAATTGATGACATGAAAATGCACAAGGCATTGAGAAATAAAAGAAGAAAAAGAGAACTTACCCTAGTAAAATAATGAGTGCAAACGTGCTTAAAAAGGGTCTCGATGCATGAACGAACTAAACTCGACGTAGACTTGTCTTGGGCACTGCTGCGGTGTTTCAGATGTACCGTACGACATCACGACGTGATTAAGTACAATAATATTGTAGTTTTCAGGAAAAATTGTCACAACCAAGTGTGAAAATAGTTGCACACAAAATTGGATGTATTACGAGTCGAAATATGGTTAGGGTCCTCATGTGTCTTGAGTTGTCTAATAGTCGACATGTTGAATCGTATACAGAATGAATACACTAATGTACCTTAGAAATTTCCGACATTTTTCCTCAATGCTTGTTCAGAAAATAGGTGAACACACGGGGGGGATGGAGAAATAATTTAGCAGTTTTTGCCTTTGTTTATCCTGCATCTGGCTCACAAAATATGGTCATATAACGTAGTGGACCGGGACATGGTTTAAACAAAATCTCATTAGTTGAGCTACACCTTACCTGTTACGTTTGACTGTTTTCTTCATTTGACTATCCTTTTCCGTGAACTTTGTAGCCAAAACATAACGTGGGCAAGACTGCCATCATTGTCGTACCGACCCCCAAATGCTGCATGGTGCTCAAGAACTTTTCTCCAACGTCGCTAATGCGAAATCCTATTTGAATTTCCCCTTCCATTGTTTAACTACGACAGCATTCCGTGTTTCAGAATCAAGTTACCGCAGCGTAACATCTAAAAGGATTACGATCGAGGAGTGTCGAGAGATATACAAAGCGGAACGAATTGGCTCCGTGCCATCAGGGTATGCGAAACTGATTTTAAAAAGAGAAGAACCGACAAAAATGAGATGTTGTGAGACCGGTAATAGACAGAGAAGAGTCAGAAGGAAGGTCGTCTTAAGTGCAATGATGTTGAATCAATCTACAACGGAAGTTATTTAAAGCCGCCGTATAATTTAGAATGGGAGTCCTCTATAGTCGTGTGATCTAGGGAGGAAATTAAATGCAAAGTCAAGGCTACCCGTACCATTTTTTATGCCCACTTTACATTAAAAGCGAGCCTTTCTAAGTCGGCCCCATGATAATTTCCGATAAGATACCAATCGATCGGTTGATGAAATACGAACCCTTAACAAGTCAAAGAGTTCTTTTCTATAACATCATGGCTAAAATCACGGCACAGCCGCTAAGCCCTTTTACGAGCCGTTCGGATGACCGGGGATGAGTGTCGGCCGAGGAGGATGTTATCGATCATCGAATCGTCTCTGCGGACCGAGCCACCGGTCTCCGGGAGTCAAGAGAAACGTCCACACGGAGGAGTCCGATGCATATTCCGTTCTTTTCTTTTTTTTTCCGTTCTTCTCGACACGGTCTGACCCGTCCTAGACTCGAACCCGAGACCTCGTGCTCATTGATTGTCATCTTCTGGTTGGGCCGACCATCACCCCTCTCAAACACCTCTCTCTCTCTCTCTCTCTCTCTCTCTCTCTTCAACTATGTGGTAGCGGCCAACTCGGACGAAGCTGGACGTGCGTGTGCTTGTGGCACCTTGGGGTGCGAATTGTAACCATTCTGCTCAAGAAATCAAATTCTTGCCAGAAATTGATTTCTGGAGGAGAAATTTGTTTGATAAAACATGACTGATTCTGCTCCAGAAATTGATTTCTGGAAGAGAAATTTGTTTGATAAAATAAGAGGAAATTTCTACTTCTGGATGAGAAATACATTTGATAACGGCGCATCAGTTCTATTTCCGCAACAAAGATAGTTCGAACTCAATTGCAAAATATTATTTATCTTAACCTATCTCAGGTCGATAAGCTATCTTTCACTTGTAGGCCGTCCTCCTAATCCATAAAATTTAACCTTCCCGGGGTAAACCCATCATCTAGTGCCTGTGCTAAAACCAAAGCCAGTGCTCGAGATGCCGCTCAAAAATGATAACCCAGATAAAAACGAGACAAAAGCGCCAACTACTTGCGGCAATTCGTTGCGAACCGCAGAGCCAAACACGAATAACGAAACAAACCGATTTAGCCACACAACCCACACATCATAGCCCTTTCGAAACCGAAATCCCGCGGCTCAACTTCAACCTCAACCTCAATCCGCAACATGCTAATCAAGTTCTCGCCATACCACTCCGCGGCGTCTCATTCCCTCGTTCCGACTCGATCGAACGAGATTCGCGCGGGCCGCGTGCCCTAAACGGCCGCGTCGCACACCGCGGATTGCACCGAAGGAAAAAGCTAACGAGAGGAGGTGAAACAGTTGGAGGAATCGAAGACTCACCAGCTACGCATGAAAAAACGGAAGCACCGGAGATATAGGGAGAGCCAAATCGATCGCCGCTGTGTGAGGTGACGGGTCCGGTGCAATCGCGAGGAGGGATGGAGGGCACGAAACTGAAGAGGCGGGGATATAGGGAGGGCCAAATCGATCGCCGCCGCGTGCAATGGCGGTTCCGGTGCAGTCGCGAGGAGGGAAGGGAAGGGCACGAAACTGAAGAGTTGAACGAGATGGAAGAGAAAGAAAGAAATTAGGGCCAGAATGAATTTCGAAAGAGAGAACGGGATGGAAGATAAAGAAAAAGAAATTAGGGCCATAATGAGTTCCGGGAAGAGAGAAGCTATAAAAAGTAGCTTCTCTTTTTTGGTAAAAACTCATTTTGGAATCAAAATTTGATTCTGGAACCTGAAAGAGAAAGTATTTTTACTAAATGCATTTTTATTTCAGATTACAAAAATTGTTCCAGAATGCATTTCGAAAATTTTTTAACAAACGCATTTATGTTCACGACATAAATGCGTTCGTTAAAAAAGAATGGATTTCATGCGCGCCTTTAACACGACCAACGCCAACTCCCTCCTCCGTCTCTGTTTCTCTCTCTCTCCCTCGCACGACCCACTTCGCATAAGAAGTATCGCCAACCGCCCAACGACACACCCCCCGAAGATTCATTTTCTCCGCGACGATCTCTCCAATGCTCTCTCCCCCCTTTGTAATTCTCTCTCCCCCAGCGTACCCACTTCGTCTTCTCCCATAACGACACCTCCCCACCACCTCGGTACTCCCTCTCATTTTAACTCCCTCTCCCCTCTTCCCTCTTCCCAGGAAATTTTCTTTCTGCTTCCTCCTTCGCTTGCAGGGTCCTGCCTGCAAGCGTCCTCGTCTTCTTTGCGGGCCGTGCTAACGTGAATGCGGGTTTTGCTTTGTCTGCCTCGGCAGTTTCCTGGGTGAGTTCTTGATTTGGTTCTTGAGTTGAGCTCTCGCGCGGGGGTGGGGGGGAATGATGGCTTCTCTGATTCGGCCGCCGGTGTCCCTGGCCGGGGCTGCGGCTTCCGACCTTTTCGGGGGCGGCGGCGGTAACGGCGGCGGCGGCGGGGACATTTCGCTGAGGGCCCTCGGGAGGGCGCGGCTGGGGGCTCGGGGGAGGCGGGGCGGCTTCGCGGTGGCCGCCAAGCTCAGGAAGGTGAAGAAGCACGAGTACCCGTGGCCCGAGGATCCGGATCCCAACGTGAAGGGCGGCGTCCTCAGCCA